GGGCAATTTCGAGGGTGTGCCAAAAGATTCTAAAACGCTCTTTCAAGTAAGACCGCTAATTTATGCACCAATAGGCCAGAATGGGAACACCACTTCAAATTTTCAAGAGTTACTTCATGACCACATAATTATAAACAGGATAAGTCAATCACCATGACCAGAGAATGACGAGAGTAAAGGCGAGAGACAGACCCATTTTGGAGGGATTTCAAAAGGTAGTCACTCAATTGAGGAAAAAAGCGAGGGCGTACGCAAGACATTCAGCCAAAATCCAAAGATAACTTGAGACAGCAGTAATGAGCTCTTTTCCCTTGTATTAGTCTGTCCGTCAGTCCGCCCATTCACATCTGAGCTGCTCACTTGACCGTGAGATGGGCATTTCCCCTTTCATGGGAATTCACGATCAACTGAATGTCGTGCAAAACACACCCCCTCCAGTGCTCTAACCTGGACACTCCCACTGCTCTACAGCTACTCCAACTTGTGTAAAAGTCGATAGTGATATTGCTGCCACTCCTGAAGCCACCACCACTACTGCTACCGCTACCGCTACTGTCACTTCGGCTGCACTAGCAGTGTGGAAATGAATTGCCAACGAAGGACAGGGCCACAATCACCACACTCACCCATTTGGTAATGGGAGAGGAAGTTCTCGATCACACGAATCCTCTTCTGGCCCAACGACGCAGGCAACTTCATCTGCAATGAAGGGAAAAGGGATGCCACGCATTAATCCACTTTGTCCACACACTTCCTACCAATCACTCATCAGTCAATCACTCGTCTGTCTATCTGTTCTTGCATCTAGCCAAAGCATACTGTGGGAGGGCACAACTGCCCTCACTTTGGCCAAGAAAACTGTTGACAGTGCACCTCTCCACTCTACTGTACTGTACTGTGCTGTTCTACAGTGTGACATGGTACAGAACAGTACATTCAATGGAGCAAACCTCTTCCCGTACATCACCGCAATTCGCACAACACTGACAGTTTCAAATCAGACCT